GGGTGGGGCGGGTGAGAGTGTGGGAGGCTGTGGGGGCAGCAGGACCGGGGGCAGGAAAAGAAGACGAACGGAGAAGGAAGAAGAAGAAGAAGAAGAAGAAGACGAATCGAGTGAGAAAAAAACAGATTGAAGGAGGAGACAGGAACCTGAAGGACTGTTGGTAAGAACCTGACCTGTGGAACCGATGGTACCGATGGACTTCTTGTCCTCATCCTCGTCGCTCTCATTGAAGTCGTCCAGGTTTCCGATATCTGTGGGTTTGAAGCTCATCAGACTGGCCAGACTCTGCATGTCTTCATCACTGAGGGACCAAGAAAACAACTGACTTATCATCACCTCTCTATATTCACTTTTAATATATTTAAAGCCATATATTTTATGGTAAAGGAGCACTTGCTTTTCAAAAATAAATCCCTTCATTTTTTTTACTTCCTAGATTACCAACATAGTAAGGGTTCGTAAATATTTTGTAAGTTATTTTTATTTTAATTTCTCCACAACACAGTCCTGTCTTAACAGAAATATTTCCCTCAAAAACTCACGTTGCTTTTCCTTCGCGGACGAACACGCAGGACAGCGAGAGCTTCATCGTGGCCTCCACCACTTTGACAGACAGAGGTTTCAGCTTCAGCGTCAGGTCGGTCTGGGTCGGCGTCGGACTGGCAAACTTCTTCAGGTTGATGTCAGCTGACGCCAGCACCTTACGATGTCCTTTGTTTTCCTGAAACCAAAGAAACAAAGAAATTGAATTAAAGACGAGGTTTATTCAGAAACAAAGTTTTATTGATAGTTTACACAGGAAACATATATAATGTTGTTTGTCACTTACACCCTCGATAACAAACGTCCACTCTTTGTCCTCGAACTCATCAGCGTTGGGCTCCTGAGGGTCAGATGACAGTCTGTTAGCTCTGCTTCTTTGTTCGTATAATATCTTTAAATATCCTTTATAAAAATAAAAACGTCTGTAATTAAACTACAAATTAAACCACTTTAGCTGCTGTTTGACCAGGACTTGGACCAGTGAAGCCGCTCTCTAAATTTAAATAATAATTATAAATATAATATGAGCCACTTGGTCATCACAGTCATACGGACACTTTGCAACAACAACAAAACAGGAAAAAAAAAAGATTAAAAACTTCAATATTACTACATGTATTTGTTGAACATTTTAATGTCACCATTGTCTCTCTCTGTTTATTATGCCTGTTTTAAACCTAAGGCCCGAGGGCCAAACGTGGCCCACCAAGTCATTTTGTGTGGCCCAAGATTCTTAACTTGATAATTTTGTTTTATTAGACAAAGCAATGTAGAATATTTGTAATTTGAATAAATAATAATTAATTGCAGAAACATGTATTAATACGTTGTGGATTAGTTACATCTATAGAGTCTTACAGTTATGTAGCGCCCCCTGGTGAAAATCAGCTTGACACCCCTGTTTTAGGTTGTTGCTAGGTTTTTTTTTTATTGTTTAATTTCTACTTTCTACTTCTTTTTTTTTAGTACCGATCACCATCTTTCTTGTTACCTTGAAGAGTGTAACTGAGATGTCGATGTTCTCGGGGACCGGCCATATCACCGTCCCTCTGTACGGGTTTTTGATCCCAGGCTGCCAGCTGTGGAGCTGAACATGAAAACACACATTAGTAAAAACCCAGTGTTTGTAGTGAGTGTGTGTGTGTGTGTGTCGATGGTGCTTCACTGGTGCCTCACCTTGGAACACATGCGTCTGTTCCTCCTGGTCCACACCACCCTCAGCTTGTCTGGTTGCCTACAGAGACACACAAACACAGGGCAAAACACACGCATTACAAACAGTCAGGTTTATGGCTTGATTTATTTTCACTCATTTTCACTTTAAAAAACAAAACATCTGCCCCCCAGTGGTTATTGAAGGGCTGACGGAGCAGTAAACAAAACAATAAATGTTTGAAAATTATCCCAGAAAAATAAAAATCAATTATTTTCCCATAAACGTCAATGTCTCCAGGCAGAGTGTATACATGTGTTCTCATGACTTTTATTATTGTGCAATTATGCCTTTAAGTCAAAGATGAAGCGCTGATGTGTTTGTTATGAAATACAGACGTGAGTCACCGTTTCACTGGAGCTTTTCTGGGTCACTTTAGGTTCATATCAGGGAAATAAGGGAAGTTTAAGTTCACAAAAAGTCAGGATTTTAGGTCCTAATGGTGTTAAACGTAAATGAACTTTAAAAAAAAAACTAGACTATTTTTACTGTTCTGTAACTTGTAGTAATTTATTGATGAATCTATATAAATAATTAATATATTTTTATATAATATTTTTGTGCCTATAATACTTTTATCTAGTACTATTTCAAAAGCTAAAGATATTTTTTTCATATTCTAACCATTTATCTTTTAGCTAGCATTTAGCATCTTAACAAATGATGGTTTGTGGCTAACTTCCTGCTACTTCCTGTATTACATTTTGACACTTTTTTTGCCACTATTTTTAGTTCCTATTTTTAGTTTCTTCTACCTATCGTTTACTTACATGCTGAAGCTACGATTAAAACGATTAAATATTTAGCTGATCGTAAGGAAATGTACAAATAATTTTAAAATAGTTCGTCAACAAACGTCAGTCAAGTCGACTGTGCAGATGTTGACGATTGTTTTCATTGTATTTTGTTCATTATTTGTCATGCGGCACAGGACGGGAAACAGGAAGTGGCCGAGTCATGTGAACGTGGTCGATGAGAATGTGAGGCGTGTCCCTTCACGGGAAGAAAGTACCAACACACACACACACACACATCCACACCCCGTGAACCACACACACACACACTGCTCTTCCATTCACAGTCTATCAATAGCTGTGGTTCGTATGTTAGCGTACGATGATGAGCGGCGGGTCGAGACTGACAGCAGCAGAGAGGGTGAGGGAGAGAGAGACAGAGGGGGGGGGCGGTGGGGGAGGTGAGAGAGGGAGGGAGTCAACAAAAATAAAAGACATGACCGACTTGTTGACATGTAATTACCATCAAACCAAACAAAAGCCCCAGACACGCGGTGATGGCAACAACAATGGGCAGCGGTGGAGTGTCGTGACGTGTTGTGACACACACACAGACGTAGGTGGCGCAACAACAGATTAGTAACATGTCATTACAGAACCCACTGGGGGGTTCGAAGGCTTGGACTTTCAGATGGGTGGAGTGTGAAAGATGACAGGGACGACGTCTTCTCGTGGACATTTAGAGAACAGTTAGAGACGAAGCGCTGAACTGGCTAACCTCTGTCGTGTTTCGGTCACATGACAAACTGATGTTCTGTCCCGCCTGTCACTTCAGGACATTTGATTGGTGTCATGCACGAGGCTGGGCCCTCTCTCTCTCTCTCTCTCTTATCGTCTGGCTCTCTCTGCACGTCTGTTTCCTCTCATCAAAAGTCTTTGTGATACAAAATACAAACTTGTTTTTGTCGCCGCGCAGTCACGGAAATATGACATCACTGCCCTTGAGGTATGGTACGGTATGGTACATTACGGCACAGTGCACTTCGGTGCAGTATGGTATGGTACCGTAATGTAACGTAACATAACGTAACGTAACATAACTTAACTTAAGGTAACGTAACTTAACGTAAAGTATATAACTTAACTTAAGGTAACGTAACTTAACGTAACGTATCGTAACGTAACGTAACGTAACCTAATGCATTCTACTGTGTCACATTATATAACCTTTGTATTTTCGTTTGCCTCTGATCAAGTTTACGTTGTCGTTTCTGGCCTTTTAATCGTAACTGGCAAAAATGTTTCCGAGATGTGGCAGAAGAATTAAAATGATTAAATATATAAAAATATAAGGTTTTTTTTTTTAAGGTACATCACCAGGACCAGGACGTCAGAATGAAAGATTTGAGGCTGAACTTCAGACGGGGTTTGAGGCCTGGTGAAAACTGGTCCCCACAGAGTCATCACTGAATGACCTTTTCACACAGGGTTCATTTTCCCAGTGTGACGGTGATGAAGAACACCCCGAGAACACACCTTGTGCTGGAGAACAGTGATGAGTTGACGTTGTGTTTGAACAACACAGTGCTGTGAAGGCGTTCACTCAAACTCTTACTTCATCACCAGGAGTCATCACTCCTGGTGAATCAGCTGTGACTCGGCCCCTCCTCCAGTCTAGACAACACAACCTCAGCCCTGCTGCTGCCGCTGCTGCTAAAGCTCTTCCTAAAGCTGCTGCTGCTAAAGCTGCTGCTGCTAAAGCTGCTGCTGCTGCTGGAACTATGGAACGTTATTGAGCAGCTGATCAGTCTTCCTTATCGCTCCAATGACGAGCCTGTTACACAATTATTCCAACCTTTGCTGTAATCTGCTCTGATAAGAAAACGACCAGGGGCCAAACTGACATGTTGGGAAAAAAAAACGTTTGAAGATTCTGGAAAACATTTCTTCAGAGCGTTCAGAGCATCTCATCCTGCACCAGAGCGACAACTAGTGGGAGCACTGAACTTCACAGAGCCCTGTTGCATTATGGTATATATTTTTTAAACAAAGATACAACCAGGTTCAGGTACTTCAGGTGAAGCTGAGAGAAAGAGGATCTGGAGAACGCTGACAAATCTGTGGTACTTTTTGCACAAAACTTTTTAAAATAATTTGTTTTCTCCAGACCGGGGACATCAGATCTCCCTACTAAGCACGTGGTTCCTTTGGGAATCGAACCCAGGACCTGTGCTACCCACCAAAGCTTAGACCTACGTGGAAAAACAGGCGACAGAAGAACATTTTAGTCGCAGGCAGAAACGCGGCCGCGGCTAATGACGGCGACAACAACGTGCGAACGACGGCGTCACTCCAGATGAAGCTGAAGTCGCATCAAGGTGGTTGATGTCAGGACTTTAACACCTTCTAGAAACATCTCTGAGCGTCTGTCATTTGTCTGAGAGGAAATGACACAAGAGTGGAAAAGCCCAGCAGGATTCTGGGTGTGAGGGTGTTGTACTTCACTGAGGTTATTTATAAACACACACACAGCAGCACGGCGCTGCTTAAATCTACATCCAGTAAGGACGGATTCTCAAACCACAGAAGTCAGTTGGACCGACTGATCGTTTGGAATTTTGAGGCAAAATAAACGATTATTTCTCGGTCCATGAAGGGTTAAACTGACGGTTTTTATTGATAACGTTACGTTGTTTTTGAAAGGAACATGTTGCGTTCAGTCGAGATTTTACATTACTCACCAAAAGTTTTATAGAATGCCCGGAGACTGGGCCACAACTGAGGTTGTGTCCGGGCCATGTATGGACCACGGGCCTCTGTTTGAATGGGCTGTGTTTATAACTACACAGTGTCTGCGATTATTCTTAATTTTTATGCATTTTTGTTTCTTCTTTGTGGATATAAATGAAATCAAGGTGGTGGAAATGGCACAGTGGAGGACAGTACGTAAACACAGGCTGGGGATTCGAACCCACGACCACAATGGAGCATCGTATGAAGCACAACATGAGAACCCGTATGTCCATAATGACTATGAGCTGAGCTGAATAATCGACCAGTCAACAGTGTCGACTAACAACATCTCCACACTCACCATTTCTTGGTGCACTCCAAAACCAGTTCCTGGTACGAAGCGACAAACTGAAACTTTGACGCCTTTTTACCGACTCGCTGCAGCCGCTTCCACACAGAAGTCATCACTTCCTGCGAGGCTTAAAAGACCGAAGTGGAGCAACGTGAAGAAGCGAGAAATCGCGCGCTTCCGGGCGTCGAAACAAAAAAACAAACTCCAACTTTGCCCGTTGTTTTCTCTTCTCCTCACTGCTGCCCCCAGTGAGGATGATGAGGCTGACACGCGCCGAGAACTGCGCTCATTTGCGGCAGGACCTTGAATTATACGCACGACTGAAAGGAGAAACTGGAGGAGAAAAATAAATAAAAAACAGGAACCGATTCGTTGCTGCTGTTTTTGCTCTGACTGTCAGAGAAAAAAGAGAGAAAGTTTCAAATGTCGGAGTCAGTTGGTGGAGCAGGAACTCTCAGTGAGAACTTGAACAGTTCCTCTCTGGCACTGATGATGGTGATCCACATGGAGACGCGGCAGCTGAAAGGTTCCCCCCCCCCCCCTCCCTCCCCCCTCTGAGCTGCGGTATCTCTCTCTCTGTCTCTCTCTCTCACCCACACACAGAGGGAGATCAGCGGAGTCAACTGGTGACACAGCAGTTTTGTCGAAGTTCCTTATCCGTAAAGTACAGTCTGTGACGTCACGCAGGTAACAGTCCTCGGTCCAGACTTTGATCAGGTCTGTCTATGTGTCAGTGACACACACGCGCGCGCGCATGCGCTCATCTGGTGCAAATCTACAGTTATTGTCTTTAAAAAGAGAGAAAAATATATTTTTTTGGTTTTTTCTTTTAAATTATTTTTTATTATCTTTTGTCTTTTTTCGGTTGTATTTTTTACTTAAAATTTAAATAAAAACATTTCCCTCTCCCTCTCTTTCTTCTTGTCCTCTTTCTTTCCTCATTTCCTCGTTTCCTTCCCTTCCTCCTTTCTTTTCCTTCTTCTGTCAAAAATTATTATTCTCCTTCTTTCCTTCTTTCCGTCATTTCGTCCTTATTCCATCCTTTACTTTGAAGTCCAGCTGAACGATCCTCTTCCTTCCTTTCTGCCACTTCCTTATTTACTTTCTTCCTTCACATTTCTACACTGACTTCTGTCTTTTCCTCCTCACTGACACACGAGTGTTCAGACAATCCAGCTTCCTGTCACACCTTTAACTTATTAAACACCGTATCAGTGTCAGTGCTGTGGGCGCCTGACACACACACACACACACACACTCACACACACACAGTGATGTGACAGATGGTCATGTGATGTCACTCGAAAAAAAAACCCCCGGATCACTCCTTTAATCAGGTCTCACTGACAGAAGTGTTTATGAAAAACAAATTAATGTCCCAGCTCTGAAGTCACTTCCTGTTTGGCCTTCGTCGCCGAGGACTTTCCAGAAATTTCATCCAGTGTTAAATACAGAGCAATAGTTTCCATGGAGAGACGGGCAACTTTATATGTGTGTGTGTGAGTGTGTGTGTGTGTGTGTGTGTGTGAGCCAGGTCAAGACAGAGGAATTTTCCTCAGTGAGGGCAGCGGTGTATTTTTAGGATGGTGATCGGGGAAGGATGGACGGACGGAGGCAGCTGTGGTGGAGGCAGCAGCCGGCTGGACAACTCCGTGAACATGACTCAGTGTTGCTCTAATATTACCCTGCACCCAGGGTCCAGGGTAATATTATTGCTGTGACACCCCCCCCGACCCCTCGGCCCCAAAACACACTCTACAGATCAGTCACTCTGCAGCTTCCTGTCCAGGGTCGAGGGACTCGAACTAAACACCGGTCCCTAGAACCGATGTCGAAGGAGAATGAAGGAACTGGTATTTTGTTTATGAAATCCCATTTCAGTTGGGTTTCAGTCGCAAGGACACACCAGCATGAACTGACCAGGCCGCCAAACACTGGTCCCTGGTATGACGTCAGTCATGTTTAATGCATTGCAGAGAATCAACTGTAATGTCTTTTGATGCCTCTAGATGGCAGCAGACATTAAATGTGCCAAATTATCTTTCAAAGTTTAGGGTTTATTCTCTTTTACATTTGATTTAAATTTTTTGTTTTGATGCCTCTAGATGGCAGCAGACAAATGTGCCAAACTATCTTTGAAAGTTTAGGGTTTATTCTGTTTTGTGCAGCATTCTACATCAAACCCAAAATGTTTTCCCACCCCGGGTGTAGGTGGTAGACCCTGGCATCGAACCCCCGACCTACTGGACTGTAAAGACTACATTTTCTATTAAATTTGATCATCGATCATGTGCAGACACTGAAGCAGAAATAAATTAGAGACATTGTTGCAGCTCATACACCATGAGTTTGTCCAGACTTGACACAGTGTTAGTCGAAGACTAAAAATAGAAAAACAGTCACGGATTTCCCCACGGAGTGCATGACCTTAGAGGAGAAAAAGCGTTAGGAGTTATATACAAACACATCCTGCCCTCTAGTGGTTATGTTACACATTACAGTCTTCGAAATTCCCCCTTGAAGGTCCAAATATAATCTTTAAAAATAGAGGATTTTATGACGTGATTCTGGAGCTCATTTTGTTAAAAAAAATAAAACCGTGTCATATCATTACAGCCCTAAACTTGACGACGACAACAAACACATCCTGCCCTCTAGTGGTTATGTTACACATTACAGTCTTCGAAATTCCCCCTTGAAGGTCCAAATATAATCTTTAAAGATACAGGATTTTATGACGTGATTCTGGAGCTCATTTTGTTAATAAAAATAATTTCTGGAGCTCATTTTGTTAAAAAAAAATAAAAAAAAATAAAACCGTGTCATATCATTACAGCCCTAAACTTGACGACGACAACGATGAAAAATCAACCAACCGCGTGACTCTGAAAGTGGCAAAGCTTTATTCAGGTACAACATTAGAAAACCTCAACAGCCTGGAACAGCGATGACACTGGACTTTCCTAACATGAAGTGCTGTGGATCAGTGCTGGGCGGTGATGGTGATGAAGTCCTAAATGTTGCCCTGATTCCTTCGGAGCAGCACGGGGGCAGAGCGACCCTCCACAATTCAACCATCCATCCAAGATATTTACAAGAAAATACTAGAAACAGCCTGCACACAGTGGCAGGCTGTTTCCCACCTGTGGGTGTAGAGACGTGGGGGGCGGGGGAGAAAAAGGGTGAGGGGGTGAGGAGCTAAGCAGCAAATAGAACATTTATTGTCTTCGGTCAACCAAAGAAGAAACAAGTCTCGTCTTGTTGATGAAGTTTTGTTTTTTTAAAGAGATAAATGTCATGTATGTGTAAAATATTACAAATGATTCATTCAAAATGTCTTAACACGAAGCAGGAGTAAAAACTAACGTTGAGTTTAACCATAACTAACAGGTTGTCAACAAGTCAAATGAACATACAGTGAAACCACACGGTCTCCCCTGGGGGTGTCAAAGCGGTGGTGCAGCTGCTCCGACTCGGGGCAGTAACGTCTGTAACTGCAGGGTTTTTTTTTTTTTTTTTACACTTCCTCTCTTCAAGTGCGTCTGTTCTGACCAGTTGTAAACGCAGCTCTACGGTCCGGTCAAAGGGAGATTCTCTACAAACCAGTGAACCAGAGTCAGTTATTCAGGACAGGAGGCGAATAAAACAGCGTCACCATCACTCCGAGGGTCTCCACCTGTCACCGGGGGGCGGCGGCGGCGGGGGGGGCGGGTTTACTGGCCCAGCTCTTTAAGGCTGCGCAGTGAGTTGGCACAGCTGGAGATCAGGCTGCACAGCTGGATGCTGGCCTCCAGAGAGGCCGAGCTCTGCAGCTGAGTGGTGGCCCAGCGGAGTTTGGTGAGAATGGCGTCCTCGGCCTCCTGCAGCACGGGCGCCAGGGTCGCCGGCTGCGGACACACCGTGGGACGAGCCGGTGCCATGACCACCGGTGCTGCTGGAGAGGTGGGCGGAGGAGGCACAGGAGGTGGAAGCAGGGAGGCTCTCCCCCCCGCCGCTGCTCCCTCACAGTGCTCTGGTCGGGGCTGAGGGACCGTGACGTTTGTCAGGCCACCGCCGCCGCCGCTGGAGCCGCTGTTCAGCTCGGCTTCAAGTGAAGTTGCGGGAGACTGAGCTGCGAGCTGTCGCTCCCTCGCCTGTGACAAGGCTGCCTGGGCATTCAGAGCTGGGGAGGAGGGAGAAGAACAGGACAAGAATAAGAGCACAGAATATTAGTGTTTAATTCAGGTTTTTAAATTTTTAAATGTATGTGACTCTAGATACCAGGGTTGTCCTTGTCAATGTCAGAGTCCAGCTCCTGACATGAAACACAGTAGTTTTTCTGCTGTCGGTCTTGAAGAAGAATCGTCTGCAAACACAAGGAAAATGTCATCAATGTCTTCATCACTTTTTAACTGGACTCCAGTCTCTTCATCCTAGTCCTGCTAGACACAACACACACCTCTGTAACCCCTGACCTAATCACTGCTGACCGGTAATGCCTGGACTCTTCGCATTAGCCCGTAATTTCTCTGAGAGAATTTCCCAAGGGATAAATAAAGTGTTATCAAACTAAAACTAGAACATTTTTCTAGATGGTTCTTCTTTGCCTCCTCACAGCCCAAACACTAAAACTTCTTTCCTAATCTACTTGAAAATTTACTTTTCTGTATTTTCAGCCAAAACTGTCTTCGCATTAGCCCGTAATTTCTCTGAGAGAATTTCCCAAGGGATAAATAAAGTGTTATCAAACTAAAACTAGAACATGGCAACTAGAACAGAAACAGTGACAATGCAAAAAATGATAGTAAAAAGTGCTCAAAATATCCTTACAAGTGCTTTAAAACATGAAGAGGTTTCACCACCGTGAACTTGTTTAACTCAGTAAGTGTGGATAAACTGAAGACTGTCACATACCTTTATTAAACCGTCATCTGAAATGGTTTTTGATGTTTGAAGTTGTCACCTCTCAATGACAAGCTGAAGACCGACGGGATTAACAAACGGGACGAGACGCAAAGTGAGCAGCACAAAGAACAACTCGTGACGCAAACGCTGTAGCACGTGATCATCGTCAAGACAACCGGGTTATTGATGCGCAGCACTTGTAAGAATATTTTGAGCATTTTATATTTAGTCATATTGTACTCTTACTTAGGTGCTGGTTACCATTTCAAACAGCTACTTGTGTTCTTGGTTCAGGGTCGGTTTGTTGTGAGTTCATACAGGTGTAACACCACAACAAATTATTTTTATTACTTAAAATAAACTCACCCCACACACATCACAGCAGTCGCCCAGCATCTTGTATCCCTTCAGCAGGTAGTTTCCCATCAACTTGCTGATTTTGTCTTGTCTCTCTCTCTGAGCCTGGATCACCTTCAGCTCGGCCTCCGTTGGAGGCTCCCACTCAAAGTCCTCATCGCCTGGAATGAACAACAAAATATTTTATTAGTGTAAATCAGGATGAGGTGGACATACTCACATTCAAAAAGACTAAGTAAGAAAACGTATTTTAGTAAAGAAAACGTATAAAGAAAACGTGTTTGCTAACATACTTGCAGGTATCTGGGAGATAAAATCCAAATTAGTACTGTTTGATATAAACACAATATGGTGATGCAGTCTCTCCAAAATTAACACACTGCAAAAATAACCCGAATTATCCCTTTACACACTCCTTGTTTACACCGGGTCAAACGTAGCTTTTTTCCTCATTAAACTTGACACTTGGCTCTGATACGACTTTAAATAAACAGGATTTTCTCAACACCAGTGGACGGATGTTTACAGCTCAACGTTTTCGATAATTGTATAAAATATTCGTCGGTGTGAATTACGTAGTATAGAATTTTATTATTTAAAAGATTAAATCACTTTTATTCGCAACACCTAGTTGAAGCTAGCGAGTGTAGCCGGGCTAACGCTTAGCTCACGTCATTAAAGGGCGGCAAATCTTCAAAAATAAATATAACAGCGATGAAAAAAAAAGAATTGTTTTTATTTCCACATGCTGTATTTTCACTGACGTAACGACTAAACTGTGCAAATTTAAATTGTTCTGTGTTTACTTGCCTCCATTCAAAGCCATGTTGCTTCGCAGCTGCTCCACACGTTGTGCGTGATGACGTCGGCGACGTCTTCTTCGTCGACAAGAACAGGTTTCAACAGGACCTCTATCGTCTTCTACTGGAGGAAAAAGTCATGACTAGCAAAGCAATACTGTCAAAATGAATGCTTTATTTGAGGTAAAATAACGTTCTCGTTTCCATTTTTACCGCTAAAACTTCAAAATAAAATACTAATATTTTACTCTTGATTTACTAAACACAATCCAGAGTTAAAGCAAGGGTTTTTCAAACTTATCTGAAGCAGTTCTTCAAGGAGGCAGCCATGATGGATTCTCAAGTTGTTGTTTTTTTACCAAAACTACACACCCAGAAAAATTATATTTTTATAATAATAATAATAAAAACATACAAACCACAAACTTCTGAGTTTAAATTGTTTTATTGTGTTCTGGATAATTTGACTTTGTTTGTCAAAAACACATTTTACACAAAGGAAAAAAAAAGAACCATTCATATTATCAGACAAATGTGTCCCATTACTTTCCAACACAATGACGTATGGCCTTTACACAGGTTTCCCATCATCCCTCACTCACAATCTAATGTGATCTAATGAGAGTTGAGTTGTTTTTTTCTTCTCTAGTACACAGTAAATATGTGTGTGTTTGTGTATTTCTACACTAATCTTTGGTCATAAAAACTCCAACACTACTGTGCAGCCTATTTCCCCCTTTTATCACTAAATTACATTTATTTGACAACAAAACCGTCGTTACATTAAAGATAAAGACGTTCCTCTTCTCCTTGTTCCTCCTGTCGCCCTGGTCATCTTCCTGTCATTGTGTCTGTTTCTCCTCAAACTCCAGCTGGACCTCATCTCTGTGGTAGACAAAAATACTTTTGAATACAATAACAACAGGTTTGGTTAGTATTTGAATATCAAGCTGATTATTAGTTGTTTTCATTTGACTTGTTTTCAGCTTACTTTCTCTAGTGGCCCTGAAGTTAAATGCTAGCTTTCTTTTAGCTACAGTCTCCATTTATTTAGTTGCTAATATTTTATTACTGTTAGCATTTTCAGGTGTACTGTTACAGTCTGAGTCAAAATCAGGTACTCACACTGATGATAGTCCTTTATTCTGGGAAGAAGGTGGATGGGAAAGAAAAACAAAATAAAAAAAAAAAAGATAATTAGTATAATTTAAAAAAAGACACTGATATATATTGTATACACTGTCAGAGTCACTGGTCGTCTGTAGAGAATCGTACCAGTAGGTTTGGGGTGCATGAGTTGGAGTGGCAGCTCCACTGTGACATCACTGCAGGAACAAACCAAAGCACTCAGAATCATAGAAACATGAGTTGAATATTTAGCTCAGTTTGCAGCTGTACCTACCTGGAGGTGAGTCCTCCCAGCAGGCTGAGGAAAAACGAAAATAGTTTGTTAAAGTCGACGTCATTTTTAGGGGATGGAGGTGTTGAGGAAAATGTTAATTGAGAAACAGGAAGTTTACCCTCCACCGGCCACCATCAGGTTGATTTTGATCTTGTAGGAAACCAGAATTCCCATAACTTCTTTCTCCACATTTCGCAGCCTGTTGTAAAGGAATAGTACAGTCATTTAGGTCACATATTATTATTATTTTTCTTTTTATTTATTTATCATGTGCACAGTCAGTCTGATGGTCTGGTCATTGTTGCTGTGGCTCCAGTTTCACCTTGGTTTTACGGTCCCTAAATATCACAGCGGCGCCGTGGCTTAGTTGGTTAAAGTGCCTGTCTAGTAAACAGGAGATCCTGGGTTCGAATCCCAGCGGTGCCTTTTGTGAGGCAGTGGTGGTTAACGAAGCAGACTTAGGTCTGGAGGGTTTCAGGTCTGAGTCCACTAACTGCAAAATTACCACTAAGGTGCTCTGAGCATGACGCTGCCCCCTGCTGACTCATGTGTTTGTCGTCCAGGCTTTATGACTAAGTATTAGTTAGAAAATACAGAGTCACTGTTTTCATATTTTGCTCTGAGTGACACTGAGACTCTGTCCAAGTCTCTGCTGTTTGGTCCATCGTTTTTGAATCCAAACTCACATCGTGGACGAGGCCAAGTTAGTGTCCTCGTCCTTCAGTCGTCCGTCCAGGGACAGCCCTCGTTTCTCCTTGTTGTCAGACAGTGAGGGTGTGATGGCCACAGTGTTCTCATAGGTGCTGCCAGGTTCCACTGAAACTCTACACGGAAAAAAAGCACAAACAGTCAGTTTGAGGCTGGAACGCCGTCGGTGGTTCTTCCATTTTGACACGCGTTTCTTCACAAACCCAAATTCTTTACTCAGAACGGGCTTGGTGTATTTGTCCGCCGAGTACAGGACGATGTCGGTGGTCTGGTCCACTGTGAAGAGAATGACATGTTAGTGACGTACAATATTGATCTGGTCATGGCATCAGTGTGTGATCGACACATTTAAAGGTGGAAACCCACCAGAGATTTTGATGTTCTTCACGGATTTGTTGCTCTCGTTGTTGATTTTGACTTTGATCGGGATTGACTCGCCGTGAAAGTAGAGCTGCATCAAAAACAAAGGTCATTTTATTATTATATTTATCATCTATTTTACCCTGAATAGGATTATGACATCACTACAGTAGTTGCCAAAATAGTGAAATAAACCTTTAACTCTTTTAAACGACATAAATCAAGATTTTAAATAATTACATCAGTTTTATCTAGATCTGCCCCTAGTGTCCATTTGAGAGAATTACTTCCACGCTAACTTTAAATTCTGAACTAAGAGGCAAAATCCATTTATAAAACTTTTAGTTTAATCTTAACATTTGAAACATGAAAATATTTATTATTATTTATTTCCCGTCTCTCCAGTGACATCATCAATAACCTGAGGACTCGTCTCACTGTCCGACATTGTGTAACCCAAGTCGGACAGTGGGGTCATCCGATCAATACATTTACAGGAAAGAGAAGTTCAGAGAAGTTTGTACTCTACATCTTTTTCCATGGAGGCCTCGAGGTGAACGGGTTTGTCCGACATCATGAAGCTCTTGCAGATCTCCGCTTTGGGCCCGGCGCCCACCTGTGAGGGCGCGAACTGAACTTTGCGGATGATGAGGCGAGCAGTGTCCCTGCGGGGGGCAGGGTGGTGGGGGGGGTCACAGTGGTTAGAGGACTGTTATCTACACAGACATGTGACAGATGAGTCGCCCAGGTCAGTGTGACACTCACTTCTTTGAGATCTTCTCATCAGGGTTAGCCTTGTCCATGGCGAGGTAAACTTTGACCTCAAAGTCAACGCCACAGGACTGGACGGAGGAGAGTACATTAGACAGTTGTTAAAGAAATATTTATTTTTTATCACAGATTTGTTCAACGATCAATGATCAACACACCTTTCCCTTGTCGTCTGGTCCGGGCTGCAGGGAAACCGAGCAGGGAAGGTTGATGGGAATCTGGAGAGAAAAGTAAACAATTCCCGATCAGTGAAAAGGTTTTAACTAATTCTTTGTAATCCAGAAGCTAAAATCTGAGTTATTTGTCAATAACTTTCAAAAATCTGCCCCGATGTCAACTTCATTAACAACAAAAGCTGCATCATCGGTGCAGAGATTCGACACGTTGCACCTACGTCGAAGGAGAACGGTACGGCTCCGTCGCCGGCCTTCTTCATCAGGGTTTCATGCATGGGGCTGAGGGCGGGTTTGTGGTTCTCTGGGTGGAGCTGGTGGTGGTTGATCCAGATGTCTTTCCTGAAGCACAGACCCATCACGTCCAGGTCATCGCTGCCGTAACGGAAGGCACAGGCCAACTGCACAAACACTGTCGAAAAAAACAGAAGGGTCAAAGAAGTTCAAGCTCCTACGGTCGTCCAGGACCGGGAAAAAAATGGTTTGTAGAATTTCGTGAATGTTACCTTTCCTGTCTCCAAAGTCAGATTTGTCCAGCTTGACGACGCCATCTGCAGAGACAGTCGTGTTAGAAGTTGACAGATGGTGACAAAAACACACTCTGAAACTACGATGAAGGGTCTTATTGACCCACACCCCATTTACTATGATGACCTCAGAGCTGGACCGTGGTCTGATGATCCCTGATTTTATATGGAACTGGTCTGAGACCAGGTTTGGCTCCAGATGTGGCCGACCTGAGTGGTACGATGACTGGACCAGACCAACTGTGGGGAACTTACCCACTTGCTCCACTTTGGAGATATCGTCCACGTAGTCTCTCTTCCCCAGGTAGAGGGTGAGCTGTGAGACAGACGAGAACGTCAGAACGTCAGAACATCGAGAAGAAACTGAAAACAAGACGATGAGTTCAGACTTACTCCTCCGTTTCCACTGGTCTTCTTGAAAACTCTGTGGTAAAAAACAAAACAAAAACAACAACAACAAAAAAAAAGTTAAAATCTGTGCTTTGTTGCTCAGTTCCACAGGTTCTCAAATCACTTTTCATCTTCTGTCCAGACCAAAACACACAGTAAAGGGATGGAAAACAGGTGGGATGTGGGCCGGATCCGGACCACGGGACACCATTTGAGGGACGCTGCTCTGTGGTATTTCTCCAAATGGAGAGAGTGATTTGTGAAAAATTCTTCTTCAGTGTATGAGGAGCACATGTTCTGTTAATGTTGATGAAAAAAAACAACAAACAAACTAAAGTTTTGGTCGTGACTGTGAATGAACAGCAGGTTGTGAAGCTCCAATAATCCCGTCATCCTGTTAGGAATATCTAAGAGTGGAGCAGCTTTAGCTCCTGTTACTGGGATTGAAAGGCTGGTTCAGGTGACGGTGCTGTAATGGGGGGGGGGGGGTATTGGGGGGGGAAATCAGCTGATTGGCAGTAGCTGAGTTCTCATCAGTCTGAGTCCACATTGAAATGGTCAAGTTAATCCTCCACAACCATAAACAAATACTTAACAACATAATTTTATAGATTAGATTAGATTTTTAGATCACGTACTTTGCCATCTCTGAAGAATCTTCTCTGCTGTCCTGTTGAGAAAAAAGAGAAGAAAATAAAAATGTGAATTTACCGTCCGTGTTTATCAAACAGATCACTGATCCGTCACCAGCTGGTCACTCCTCACCGACCGGAGTCAGGCCTGTGTTTTGCAGGGGTACGACAGGTTAATCCGTGGAGATGAGATTACGCAGGTCAGAGTTAAGGCCCTTGATCCGAAGCTAAGTTATCTGTTACCTGCAAACCGCATCAACGCCAAAGCTGTGCGTGGGATTCCCCGTTATGTCAGAGCGTGTGTCCCCCTCAGATCAGCGTTTCTAAAACAGTGGCTGGCGTAGACCAGTCAGGCACGGGCAGCAGGATTTCTGGAGACACTGAGTCACAACAGCAGCCTCCAAATAACTGGGATTGTAAAGGTCCACTAGTGTGACTCATGTCATCAGTACACAAGTACTACAGTACTTCTGGGAGTACTTGAAGTATTTAAACCTGGGGTCTTCTGATGCTAATCTTAAATTTTGGACCAAGTTAATCTTGAGATTTAAGGTTAAAGCAGTGGATTTTAGTGTCAACAACAATAAAGTATTAAGACTTATCGACTAGTAAACGTATCTTCAGATAATTATGTCTCTTATCGACTAGTAAACGTATCTTCAGATGATAATGTTTCTATATGTGAGGAAGAACGGGGTCAAAGACAAAAACTGCATCTTAAAATATCAAATACCTTCATTGTATTTGTTCACTTTAATTCAGTGACAGGAAGAGAAACATTTCCTGACTCTTATAGTTCAATTGTTTATTATCTATATTATTATTTTTTGTTATTTCTAACATAATAATAATTGACTATTGGGCATAAAAATTCCACCTTAAGGTATTTAAAAAAAGTCACCAGTAAATGTGACATCAGGTGACAAACCCTGGAGCTACAGCTGTTATTCATTATTAAATGAGGGGTTGCCATAGTGACGGTTTCACCAGTTCTATTAAGATGAGAGAAAAATCTGAGGCTGCAGTGACACACAGTCACCACCAGGCTCAGACTTTGTCCAGAAAGAAGGCAAATTTAAACAAGCGTTAATTATGTCTTGATTAATTATGACCTAAAAAAAGTTCACGCACACACTAACTCCTCCAGCTCTGATTGGTCAATAATTAGAACATATTTATTGGTTGTTTTTAACAGAGGGATTTAAACGGCTTTTTTAATCAGTTTAATTTTCTGCTTATCCTCATCAGTCGTTATGTCATAATTCAGTTCAATACTGAATAACTGAACTAACGACTATAATCTACACTGAATTTTCCAGTTTTGTTTCCAAATATTTTTTCACGTAAACCTTTCAACCTCGGTTACACTGACGCCAGTCAAGAGTCAAACAGCCATGAAGATTTGATTCTTCCTCAACTCACGGTACGACAACATTTTGTTCAATGTTGAAATCTGATAATCTGGTAATCTGGTTAACCACATCCAATGTATCTTTCTCCGACCATAGAAATCCAAAGACAAACACTTTGACCGTGACGTGGACACGTCCCCTCCGTGTGTAGGTGAGTCTTACCTGCTCTCAGGTGTCTTCTCTCTGTGGTCAGTGTGGAAACACGCAGCGCTCCACAACTGTTGATCTGCCTTTTATAGCAGCAGCTCCTCTCTGTGCATCACTGGGATTTAAGCAGGTCATTTCTGTCTCCTAATCTGGTTAGGCAATCAGCTGATGGCTGGCTGTTTTTGGACGACAAAGGGTTTAAAAAAAAAAAGAAAACCCTCAGCAGGAGACCACATGGCTGCAGTAGTAGTAGACTGGTAATCCTCTCCTCTGTACCTGGAACCAGACCAAACCAAACACTGGTGAGACGGAGAGTTTGTTATTCAACATTTTGAAGTCAAACTAAATCACAAAGTTAGGATTTTTTTTCACCAGAGAAATGTCAGTGTGTTCAGGTGTTTAACTATAGCCGTCAGGATGGTTGTCTTCAGCCTCGGTCTGTCAGCTGTTACTGACCTGGGACCAGACGTCAATATAAACAATGTGGTAAAGTGGTGGTTTATTATAACCATCAGTAATAGACAGTAATGATACAGACGAGTGTTGCTGTGACATCAGCAGGTCTGTGGGGGGGGGCAGACTGTCTGTCTGTCTGATCTACACAGATTAACCCCCCCCTCCTCTCCTCCACCTCCGTCCTCTCCCCACGGACCTGTTAGGGTACGGATGACGCCAGCGTTGAGTACGACGTCGGGGGTAAGCTGTATTACTCAAGGCTCTCTACGGAACATGCAGGGGATTAGGTCAGAGCGACTCCGGCTTGACCTCTGGGTTCGACCTTTACAATAAATTAATCCAGATTGTTCGATATGAGATTATTTACAATAAACGATGAGGGAAATGTTACTGAATTAATTGGTTATAAGTAAAGCTAAATAAAAGACAATAAAATACAAAATATAACAAAATAATAAATATATGTATATTGTACAGTTCATAGGCTGGAATCCTGCTGCAGTGACCTTTGGGTCACAGGGCAGTGGTCACTGTGCTGCGGTGACTGTGGGTTTCCACAGTTTACTCCACGTTTACCACAGACAGAGTCAAGGTTAAAAATCAATGTACTACATCAAATACTGCATCAAATACTACATCAAATACTACATCAAATACTACATTAAATACTGCATCGATTGTTATCATCACATGTCAATGGTTCAACTTCATCAACATCACAGGAAACAAAGGGTTACGTTGACTTAAAATGGATCTTTTAAGACAGACAGATGGATAGGTGTCAGAAACAATCTCAGGACATAAATAAATGCACTTTTCACCCAGCAGGGACGGCAGAAACAAGTTGAGGACATTAATAGATTTGAACACATCTTATTTTAGCTCCTGTCCGCTAAAATCTGCTCTGATCCCGTATACTTAGAGATGTTAATCCGGACCAGGGGAGGGAAAATACTGCGGGTGACGGAGTGAAGCTTTAAGAGCAAAAGACTCAAGACACGAATTACTGAACACTGAGGTGTGGAGCGGTGAGGATGAGAGGTCACCGAGAGGTACAGTGGTGAAGATGATTAAAAAAAAAAAACACACAAAACAACAACAGATATAACTGATCTGAAATATGATACATTTTGATACCATATGAGTATAGTTTTTATTTTTCATGAAATACAAACACACTGCAGTATCTGTTAAAGTTGAGTTCAATCATGACAAATACGTACCAAGTCCCTAGAACCAAAATTATAATCTGCTCCATAATCTGTTCTCCCCATAGTTGATGAAAATGGAGGTACGAGGGGTCAGAGGTCAACAGATTTGCACCACAATCCTGTGTCTAATCTGAGGAAGCGACGAGGAAAGTGAATTTGATGTGGACGCATGTGCAGAGACAGACCTGAAGGTGGAGCTCATGAACCTGCTGTTCTGTTTTTATGGTACGATAGAGAAGACTCAAGAAGATGATGAAGATGAAGATGGGGGAGGCAGAGGGCGAGACGGCGTTAAGACCCCCGGGTTTTAACTCGGGTCAGGGAGACCCCTCAGAGTCAGGTTCAAGTCCAAGTCTTTCAAGTAAAGTTCTAAACAAGTCTGAGTCCAGACGGCACATTTTTCAGTCAGGGTTCAGGTCAGTTTGTGTTTGAAAAAAAAGAAGAAGCTTAAATTAACAGTTTTGTGATGTATTTGTTCTTTAGATAAATTCAAGTCAGAGTCAGAAACACTGACAGCTGAGTTTAGACTCAAAACAAAAAGATAATAAAAAAAAGCTGATTTAAATATTATCATAAACAAAGATTTTTTTCCTCCACTAATTTGTCTCTGTTCATTTCCACTTACCCTGACACTACAGGTCCAACCTTCAAAGATGTTCCTCGTCACTTCCTGATATAACGCGCCATCTAGTGGATTCAGTTTGAGATGCAGTTTCATTTCCTTTATCGTCGGATGAATAATGCACAGAAAACCTCTTTCTGTTTAAAAATAGTAAAAAAAAGTTAGAAGAATTTTAAGAGTTTAATTTTTTACAAAGTCATATCTAATTTCTCACACTTTGGAAACAACATTTATAGTAAAATATATTTTTCTGGCGTGTCAATAAAAAAAAAAACGCACGTTTTTTTTGTGTGTGTTTAGAGAAGGACCAAGTTACTGATGTTTTGACGTCAGGTGTGTGCGGTTCCTCCTCATCCTCCTGCTGCTCCACAGCCTCAGACGGAGGTGCGCACTGAGCGCAGCGGACACTGCGGTACCAGCGCTGCAGCTGCGGCTGCTCGAATCCGAGCCTGATCACAGCCACGTCCCGCTGCAGACTCCCTGGTCCCGACCGCGTGAGGGAGGGAGGAGCTGGGAGGCAAAGACGGCAGAAGAACCACCGCAGAGAAGCCATGGCTGAGTCCAACCCCCTGCGGGGGTTCCCACGTCTGCGCCGGGCCGCGGTAAGTTAGCATCACCGGTGGGAGGCGGAGGAGAGGAGAGGAGAGGAGAGGGTGGAGGGAGGCTCCACACCGGTCAGAGAGGAGGATACTGCAGCAGAGAGAGAGAGACATGATGTTTAGACTAAAGTACTGCGACACGGAGTACACGGACTGTACACATGATGTTAGGTATTTACAGTAAAAAAAACATTCAGTTTATGACAAGAATCTAAGTCTAGGACCAGGACAGGACAATGACTTACAGTTGTATTTGTGTGTGTGTGTGTGTGTGTGAACGCACCTGCATGTGTTTTTTTTTTTTGGAGCTGCAACAGTAACAGGCCGCATCAGATTTGTTACTGCAGTGAGTGTGTGTGTGTGTGTGTGAGTGTGTGTGTGTGTGAGGAAGTTGTTCATGTTTCACAGTGCGCTCAGATGTTGATGTGCAGAAATGTCTGCAGTCTCTCAACAACTTCCATCATCCTCCACCACCACTGTAACACTGGTGCTGGGTCACGTGGTCCAACCGCGATATCATCATTAAAACTATAGGAGAGTGAATCACATCCCTGCTGACTCAGCAATCCTCAGCATCACCACCAATCACCTTCAGCCTCTGATAACACCACACACTCATGACGTCAGTGCTGAGTGGGTTTTTTTTAAAGGGAAACTATGCATAAAACTTTTTTGTTAATAATTGTAAACAAATGTGTGTAGTAGCCTATTCCACTCCTGCAGGGGGTGCTATTAAAGCAGTTCAAGTGCACTATTCTCTACCTTCAAAGTAAAATAATTTATCATCTTTTTTTCAGATTTGTAGAAAGTAAAAAAAAGGAAAGTGTAGAATCAAAATAGACTTCGTGGATTTTTTTTATTTTTTTTAGATTTGCAGTTGAAGTGGTTTGAAAAAAAAAGTCTAGTGGTCAAAAACCTTTAGCTGAGCAGAGGAAAAATGTGAGGTGTAAACAACAACTGATCGATCCGTGCAGTGGTAATCAATGTCAGTGAGAGTGGACTTCATTACACATCACTGTTTCAATGATATTTTATTTAAAATAAATGCAGGAACATGTCGATGATTTGCTCCTAGTGGCGGGTTAGTCCAAGTAAATACTTCTCTAACTGGGCTTCATCTGTTTTCTGCACAAGCTTTTTTTACTTTTTGCTTGGAAGCAATAAAAAAAAAAAGCTGCATCTGCAACCTTGAAAATAAAGAAGTGTTGTGGTGGCAACAATACAACAACATGACGTCGACAGCCATAAAAAACGTGAAGAACCGATTCAATGTCTTAAAGTCACATGATTTTAAAAATACATCGGTGCTGCATCTGTAGTATTATTGGTGTAGAAGTGACAAAAAGACATTTGTTTTGGTTTGAAAGAACAGCGAAAGAGTGACATCTAGTGGCCATATGTAAAATTCCCGATTAATCTGACCTTAAATAAACTTTCCGTTTTTCCTGGTACATAAACATGTCCTTCTTTGACCTTCAGAAAACAACACGTGCCTCCCTCCCTTCCCCCCCCCTCCTTCTGTTACCCCTGTTACTAAGTTAATGACATGACACTCACTTCCTCTGTCAGACATCGTTTCCAGGAAACCTTCATTTGGTCCTGGTGCTCCACCCCAGCAGTCTGTTAGGCTCGGCCCCCAGTCCATCTTCAAGCACCGACCTGGGATTTCGTTTCAGCCAGGACGACTTCCGGCCGAAGATGCCGGTGGGGAAACTGAGGTTGGAGGAGATGTTAACGTTGACGATTGTGATTTCACACATTTGATTTTAATTATTCAGATTCAGTTTCATTCATATATGTTTTTGGAAATTATTTTATGTTTGTTTCCACACCATATATGAACTATATATAGGTGGACGTTTTTCTTGGTTAATTTTGAGCTATTGTTGCCTAATTTCAGCAGCTTATATTTATTTTATGTTATGTATGTTTTTTCCAATTTATTTCCACTTTTGATATTTCTTTATATTTGAGACAACATAAAGCCTGGGCTGTTACTTTTACATGATTTATCTAATGACATTTTTGTTATAGGTTTTGCTAGACTTCTAACTATTTTTGCTGATTATTTTTCCTTCCTACTATAATAAACAATATTTCAACTTTATGATATTTTTGAGATAAAGTTCAATTTTTAGTTTCATTATTTTGGCCATTACTTTTTTTTGCTACCTTTTAGCCTATAGCCTAAAAGGTAGCAACATATAGATATTTTGAGAGAAAAAAATGCATGATTGTGTTAAACTCATGGATGTCCAACGTTGACTGTCCTGTCGTTGTAGGTAGTGATGCTGCGTTCAGTCGGAGAACTTCTGCGTTACATCGATGACAACCACCTGACGTCAGACTTCACTGCAAAAGTTGAATACTGCACCAGCGACTGGATCGTCCTTTCCACTGTAAAAAAAAAAAAAAAAAATCAGAGCAGCACAACTGGGTAGGGAATATCGAGCTCTTCCTAAAACTGAGCGTGTGTGTGTGTGTGTGTGTGTGTGTTTCCAGTCCATCGAGACCTTTGCGGTGACGGTGAAGGAGATCGCACAGCTCCTGCAGGGTTTCGGCTCCGAGCTTTCTGAGATTGAACTCCCCGACGAAGGCAACGCCATCGAGTTCCTGCTGCACTCACACACTCACAGATACAGACAGATGAAGGTTCCAGCGCCCCCTCACTGTTGACGTTTGTACTGCAATCATTTTTCATCACCGACATAAATATTTTTTCTTACTCACCGCTGGGTTTTTTTTTTGTCCACGTGTCCAGGACGACATCCGGAGTGTGCTGAAGGAAGGACGTCTGCTGCTGTCCAACCTGGTGACGGTCAAGGCCTCAAAGAGAGACGTGGAGGAGCAGAGGGAGGTCCAGGTGGACGTGGAGACAGTCCAGAGGTGAAGTACTGTGTGAGAGAAGAACATACGAGGGTTTGTTTCTGCAGTTTTAAGTGTGTGTGTGTGTTTTTGTCAGGAAGTACTGTGTGAGAGAAGAACATACGAGGGTTTGTTTCTGCAGTTTTAAGCGTGTGTGTGTGTGTGTTTTTGTCAGACTCCTGACTCAGCTCAGAGACATGGAGGAAGCCTTCGACGGCTTCTTTGAGAAACACCACCTGAAGCTGCAGCAGTTCCTGCAGCTGCTCCAGTATGAGACCAGTTTCCAGCAGGTATGAAGACGAACACCTGTCTTCACTGACTCTGTTGAATGTTAAGTCACAGCGGGTTTGACGACTGTGTGGTGTCTGCAGATGGACGAAGCCCTGGAGCGAGTCGCGGCTCAGGAGAAGGGCATTCCCTCAGTAGGAACCACGCTGGTGCAGACGGAACAGTTTCTGAAAGACCTGGAGATCTTGGACAAACAAGCAGAGGTCAGTGACACACAGCAGTAAAACACAGCGGTGGAAAAGTCATCTGAAACACAACCTTCTGTTCTGTGTTTGTACGGGTGTGCCGGATCAGGAGGAGATGGCTCGAGCTCAGGTGGTGATCCTGCACGGCCACCAGCTGGCCACCAACCATCACTACGCCCTGGCGCTCATCATCCAGCACTGCAACGAGCTGCGGCACCACTGTGATATAATCACCAACGCCATACGCACCAAACGGGCCTCGCTCAATCGAGCACGAGACCTGCTGCAACGTCTGGAAAACGTGAGAACAACTCACTGTTTGCTTAAACAAATGAAGATTTTTTGAAGATTATTTTCTTACATTGCTTTTTTTCCTGATGCACCGACGCAGGCCCTGAGGTGGTGTGATGAGGGAGCTTATCTTCTAGCGAGTCAGATGGTGGACAAGTTCCAAACCAAAGAAGGAGCCCAGGAGGCGCTGCACTATCTGAGCTGTCACCAGGAGAGGGCGCCATCCGCACTGAAAAACAGCCAGGACACTCTGAGTCTGAGTCTGGAGTTTGAGGCCATTCTTACTCCGCAGCTGCAGGTGAAACACCAGATACTGAAAGTCCCTGCATCACAGAATACCCACAATGCACCTCACTGCACACTTTCTGCTCCTTCCGTTTCCAGTCACAAATCTCCATGGTTACAGAGAAGCTAAACTCCATGCAGTCCATGATCAGAAACAGGGATCAGTGTCTGAGGAAACTGGCAGAGATGCAGGTCAGACCCATCCAACCTGTGGCTCCCAGACCAGAACCGGACCAGACGTCACAGCGTTGCAAGACTCTCCTCTTCTCCCCCAAACATGGTGTGAGATTCGTACTCACACAAACGTACGTCCTCACAACTCAACAACCCTTTGAATGTGTGATTTTTATTGTCACCATTTCTGTAGTCGTCGACTTGAACGTCCTGAACTCCAAGTTTTCCTTTGACCTCCTTCCTGGTAAAAAGGCTGCGAGGAGGAACAACGGTCAACGCAAGGTGAGGGTTTTGTTTGTTTGTTGTTTTTTTCTTTTGTACCATAGCATGAAGAGCTAAATATACGGTATCTGAAGGTGAAAATTGATGCAGAAAAGAGTTTTTCACTCAGGCTCCATGGAGTTTTATTCTTAGAACAATTCTTCATTATCAAGTTTCAAATAATGAGTTTTTTTAACAGTTCTACGGAACATGTCTCCCACTGAAAGACTTGTCACTGTTTGTTCTTCCGTGTGTGTTTTTCAGATTGAGGTGATGCACGATTACCATGGCAACCGCAGCTGTCTGTACGGATCCAACACTGAAACCGATTCAGAGGTGGAAGACAATCCAGAGCAGGTCACGCGGTACGTTGTTCTTCACCTTCGTCTCCTTGGGTTTGACCTTTAACCTTTGTCGTTCCATTTTTATAAACAAACCGCTTTGACCTTTGTCGTTCCGTTTTTATAAACAAACCACTTCTCATTCTCTGCAGACACATAATAAAGGAGCTGATCGCCACAGAGAGGATTTACGTGGATGAGCTTCTTTCTGTCCTCCTGGTCAGTCTTCAAATGTTTGTTGGGTTTGTTTTTTGGGTCAGTCTTCAAATGTTTGTTGGGTTTTTTTTTTGTTGTTGCATTTTTCAACTTTTACTAACTGCCTTCCTTTCTCCACCCTCTCCTCTCCTCAGGGCTACAGGGCAGAAATGGAAGACCCGTCCATGTCTTACCTCCTTCCCTCAGCTCTGTGCAGTCAGAAAGACCTTCTGTTTGGCAACATGCCTGAGATTTACCAGTTTCACAGCAGGCAAGACACGAAACCAACACACACGCAAATGCTGTTGTGTGTTTTTTTGTGGGAAGGTTACGTAGATATATAACATTCCTGAGACTTTTTAATTAATCCCGACTTCAGGAACTTCACAAACTAAATACTGAACCCTAAAATACTCACTCTGAGTGGACCAACAATTCAGACGGTCAATTTCCACTTGTCTCTCCAGGACCTTCCTTCAGGACCTACAGAGATGTCTGGAGACACCAGAGAGGGTCGGGGCCTGCTTTCTGCAGCGGGTGAGGAAACATGGGGCACGAAATAATTGGTCAGATTATTCGAAACCACATGTGATCTTATGAAAAGTGTTTGTTCGTGCAGAAGGAGAAGTTCCAGGTGTACGAGCGTTACTGCCAGAACAAGCCGCGCTCGGACGCTCTGTGGAGACAGTGCTCAGATTCACACTTTTTTCAGGTACAAATAATTTTTGATTATAAATACTAATTAAATTTCACAGATAATAATTACAATATCAAATACAATAATTCTATATAATAATTAGAACACAAAAATAAGAAAAAAGAATACACGAATCAGATAAATATATAATATTTTTTAAAAATCATATACGATGACCATTTAAGGCCAAAACTTGCCTTGTTTCTCAGAACTTTCCTCTCCTCCTCAGACTCTCTCTTTCTCCTTCCCCGTCTCTGCAGGAGTGCCAGAAGAAGCTGGACCACAAGCTGGGTCTGGACAGTTACCTTCTGAAACCTGTCCAACGTCTCACCAAGTACCAGCTGCTCCTCAAGGTGTTGTACCTCTGAGCCAGTTACTGTGGTCTCCTACAAACACAGTTCATCACTGCCTGTTAGTTAGCGTGTTTATTTAGCATAAAAGTAAAATGAAACTGCAGGCAGCACCAGATGGTGCTTCAAAAAAAAAGAAGGTACATTTAGAAATGTTTTAATAAAATACTTTTTGTTACCTTATTGTCTTTATAAAGCTGTAAAACAGCTTATTAAACACAATTATGTGTTTAATATGCTATTTCTTTTGCAATTTTATAGTCAGTCCATTCAAGAAGATAATGTTAATTTGCTGGATTCACACTTGCATTTCTTGTTTTATGCGAGTATAAAGATAAAGATTTTTTTCTGGACAAAAATAGTTATTTGTTTTGTGACAGGAAAATACCCATAATTACACAGACAAATAAGCAGACAAGGACATAATACTCCACTAAATAATTAATTTAATTATAGTTTCTCTGTCCTCGTTCAGGAGCTCCTGAAGCACTGCACTGAGCTGCGATACCGCTGTGAACTGCAGGAGGCGCTAGATTCCATGCTGGAGTTGTTAAAATCTGTCAACGACTCCATGCATCAGATATCCATCATTGGATACCAGGTACCGCTGGGTTCAATTAGGGCAGGGAAACAAAACTGTTCTGACTTTAGTTCATGTTTCTAGTCCGTCGTTCATACCGCTGTGTTGTGTTCGTCTGTCCCAGGGTGACCTCAGCCAGCTGGGCCGCGTGGTGATGCAGGGCAGCTGCAGCGTCTGGATCAGCCACAAGAGGGCAGCGGTGCGCATGAAGGAGCTGGCCAGATTCAAACCCATGCAGCGACACCTCTTCCTCTACGACCACGCGCTGCTCTTCTGCAAACGCAGGGACGAGGACAACCACGAGAGGACGCCGTTCTACAGCTTCAAATCCTGCCTCAGAGTAACAGACAAATTATCACAGACATTAGTGCATGAACACAGTGCAACACCAGTACAATTTCTTACCACGAAACGTTAGTGAAATGAATATTTTCTCTCCGTTTTTTTTTTTGTGTGCAGATGAGTGCAGTTGGAATCACAGAAAATGTGAAAGGAGACGTGAAGAAATTTGAAATCTGGTACAGCGGCAGAGAGGAAGTTTACATCATCCAGGTATCTTGATACAAGAGTTGTACTCTGTAGTCTGTGCCCTTTTTGTTTGTCAGACCCACATGGAATTCTGTAGTCTGTGCCCTTTTTGTTTGTCATACCCACATGGAATTATGTGGTGTGTGTGTGTGTAGGCTCCCACGGTGGAGGTCAAAGGTGCCTGGCTCGCAGAGATTCGAAAGATTCTCACCAACCGGCTGAAACTGGGTCAGGATCTCTATGGTTTTATACATCATTTTCTACTGACCTGCAGTTCTGTAGCAGATCTAGATCTAATTTGCATTTTTATCTGATTAGAAACCTTGTTTGATCTCTTAATGTCTTTCATGAATAAATGCTGAAACTTTGTCAAAACTTTTTTCCAGATGACACTCGTCCACGTTCAGGCTACTCTGCTCCCGACAGGTGATTCCCTCTGCATGACCTTCCCATGTCCATCTGTGACCTCCTTAAATATATATATGTGTGTATAATTTGACTGTAGACCAGAGCATGATGGTTGTCAGTGGACGTGGGTGTGTATGTCCAGGTGCTGCTTGTGTGTTTGACTGTGTCCTCAGTCTTCTTCAGAGTTTGTGTCCTTGTCCTCCACTCCTGCATGCGTCTCCAACACTCACTCTTATCTCAGCTCCTCTGGAAGATTTAACGATCCATCGACTCTGACTGATGACCACAGTGTTGACACGCTGCCAGGCTGCTTAAACAGTCCTTAAGGTGTTAGCGGTTATGCTATTGATCGTTAGGGGTTAGCGTGGCTACGTCACAGCAGCGTAGGGTCAAAGAGTAGTGATAAAAGTGAATCATGTGTGCGCTGTAAGGAAGGCCGTCTTCACTCCACACATTTCTCTCCGATCTCGTGTTCTCCTTCTTGACGTCGTTGTTGTTCCATTGCATCGACACATCTATCAGCGTCGCCCCCGTCTGTTGTTCTCGTTAATGACCACAACCGGCTGCTAATTAGCCATAATGCGCTTGTGCATCTGTTATGGAAGTTACAAAGCAAATCACAGGAGGAATTAAAACTACTGCCATTATTAATTCAGGGTTAAAGCATGTAAATGTGTTCGTCTTTGGCTAAAGTGATATATGTGTTTACATTATTCAGCAGATGAGTGCAGACGTTCACAGAAAAAAGTCTGACTCATCTGCTAATTAAATCAAGGAAAACGCTGTTTGATTAACCCTTGGTATTTTGAAACTAACCAACATGTCCACGAGAGACCCACAAATATGAGACCACTCCAGGTTTTGTCTAAACGAGCGTGTAATTAATGTGTGAAATGAATCAGATTAACATGGACCACAAAGTCCTGGGATTTGAACTGACATTCCTCCAATCACAACGCCCATATTTTAATCACTGTTCAACAGTGTTGGCCCAAACGGGCTTCATTGTGTGGCCCATTATTAAAGCCATATGTGCTCAAACAAACACCCACACTGTTTCATGTGGGCTTCTTATGGACATGCTCTCTGCAACTACTACTGACCCCTGTTGACATGTCTGCATATTACAGTGACCACTGATCATTTATGTCAAATAAATCATCATGGACATGGAAATGATACACTGTGATATACAGCATGTGTCTGAACTACAAATGAATGCTGTGATATTGAACAGAATGTGAATGACTTTGGTTTTGTGACACGGTGGATGTTGTTGTTGTTGTCGTTGTTGTTGTTTGTCCTGTTCGTTGTGGTCATGGTTCTGGTGCCACCGTGATGCTGTTTTAGTGCCTCAGAGGTGTGTGTGTCGTGGGGCGCAGCACCGGTTGGAGGCTGCTCAGCGTGTCTCCCTGTTCCTCACAGCTCGACCTCCACGAGCCACAGCCACAGAGCCCGGGACGAGGAGTCGGAGCACAGCAGTCCGGTCCACACGGAGCCTGTGGTTCAGTCGCCAAGACGCAGTGAGTCACAGAGACAGACAGATGGACAGTGACAGGGACAAAATGGTCTGGATCAGGTCCTGCAGCTCTGCAGATACTGTTGTATGCAAAGAAAGACAGAGAAAAAAAAACAGAATAATGAAGTGAGATCAACAATCAGACAAAGACTGAACACTGTTGTCTGTCTATAGTCACTGCTCCAGATGCTAAACTAAACTAAACTAAACTGAACTAAACTGAAGACAGACATTGAAAAAGCACAATGAAGTCATTTCTAAACTAAACTAAACTGAACTGAACTGAAGGCAGACATTGAAAAAGCACAGTGAAGTCATTTCCCGGTGCTTGACAGCGGCAGCTGGGCCCGCCCCTGCACACTCGGTGGCAATCTGTGAAGGCCTTGAGGACTGGGGAGCCACTGACCTCTCCAACCTATCAGACTCAGACGAGGAGGAGGAAGAGGACGTGGAGGAGGAGGAGGAGGATCAGCCTGCTCCACTGGTGAGAAATGATCACTTGTCACGGCAGAGAAGGATCTGCTCACATGTCAAGGAAAAATGTACAATCACTACTGTTAAGATGCATGTATTCATTGTCAACTCCACTGAACTGCTGGGTGTCATGAACTGACAGACAGAAATGGAAAGAAAAAAACATCTAAAGTTCCTTCTATTTTATTAATCGTTCAGTGAAAAAATTAAGTTGCCAAAATGGCAATAAATAGAAAAATCAACTAAATGAGTGTTTTATAAAGACACAACAACAACAACAACGGTACTGAGATGGTCCTTGTTCCGTGTTCTTCTGTTCCAGGTGGCCGGCAGATACAGGGTAATGGTCGAGAGCAGCATGGCCAGCGCTGATGACATCATCTTCAACTCTGGTGATGTCATCCAGCTGCTCTATGAAGACTCATCAGGAATGTGGTACTGTGGTCTCGATGAGTCAGAACTATTGATTAAAGGCAGAGTGTTTATAAAGACTCTGTCTAGAGTGTTCCGAAAAACTGTTCCTGTACTGGAGAAAACATGGAGAGAACATGTCAATTCCATTCAGAAACACCAGGCCATCAGACCATTAAACTAAACACTTCTGCCACCTTGTGGCACGCACTGGTAAATCGGACTAGAAAGGGTTGTGATGGCTTTTAAAAATATGGCACTGCATGCTCATATTTTCCATAACTCTGTGAGAATATTTCCTGAATTTACTGCACACTCTGCCTACGACAGCATGAATGATACACCAGGGGGCGTACTTTGCTGAACGGTCTCTCGTCTGCTGCACAATTACAGGATGGTAAAGAATATAAGTCGTGGCGAAGAGGGGCGTGTTCTGCCTGAGGACCTGCAGAGGATTCTGGGAGAGACGTGCTGAGGACCAATCAGAGCCCAGGATAAAGGAAACGTCTGTGTTCATTTCTCTTACTACCCTTTTAACATACAGTGTATTTGACCATAACTCCTTATAAATATACTCTCACTCAGTACATACACACACATGTACACAGTAAAAGACAGTAACTGTAAACTAACCCTGACCATGAGGAAGGACAGGCATCATGGGAGTGAAGCCTCAGCCACAGAGTTTTTTATGAAAATCACGGGGTTAAAAACTGTAACTACGTCAATAACGAGCCTGTAAATAGAACTGTTATTTT